CGTACCGTTGCGTCTTGAACTCGCGGTCGATCTTCGCGATGAAAGCGTGAAGGTCGACAACCTCTGCTCCGGCGTCCATCAACGGAGCTGGTACTGCAGTGTGCAAATAGTCCCGCAATTGTGCCATAAGCACGTTGCAATGCGGTTTCGGCAATCGTCCGATCGAGGGAACGGGCATCCACTGGAAGTCCGTGAATGTCAACGGATCGAGCTCATCAAGTCTTAACCATGGCGTCGAATCCCCGGCGATAGGTTGCGGCGAAGCTGCCGGATCGGTTGCCGATGGTGATGAAACCGTGCATGCGGTGGACTATTGCACGTGGAGTGGTTGGTCCAGCGGTGGAACTAAGTGGACAGCATAATCCTCGTAAGTATACCGAGGACTTGCGACATTCGCATCCTCCCCAGATGTGCAGGAGGCCGCTAGCAAGGCGGCCGAATCTGCCGGAGTAGAAGGTGGAGTCGCCTCACCTTCCGCGGAGCTCAGTTTCCCGAGCTGAGGCGGGGTCGCACTTCCTCCTTGCCCTGATCTTGGCAAAGGGAGGTCTTGTGCTTGGTGTTGTTGCACCAATAGCAGCTGCCGTAGCGGCCGCGGACCTTGTACTCCGCCTCGGTCAAGCCAAACTTGACCCATGGAAACTGTCCTGGCTGTCCATTTCCGGCCTGCGATGCGGATTTCGCCTTCCCATTGTTGCGGGACTTGTTGGTGCTTCGCGGCTGGACAGCGGCCACCTGATCTCCGTCACTTGATGCTGGAGTGGCTGCTGGGTTATCTCCACTGTCCTGCTGGACTGCAGCGAAGTGCTGCTGTCGCGGACCAGTTCGTACCTTCTCCACATAGGTCGGCTGCCATGATATTGATTTCTCGTGTGCAGCTGACCTGTTGGTCTTGAAGATCTCCCTCGCTTTGTCAATGATCTCCGCGAAGGTTGAGTACTGCTCGCGATCACCAAGAGCCTGGCTCAATGCCGCACAGGACCTGTTGTAGAACTCACGGCGTAGATGCTCGAATGGTAGGTTCAGATTGGGCACAGCCGCAATCTTCTGCTACTCCGTGAGGCAGTCCCGTGTTGCTGTGTTGCCCTGTGACATGGTGAATAAACGGTTGATGGCGAGTACCGGCGCGTCGTCGACGATGAACCGCTTCTTCCACAGCCGTGTTAGTTCCTCCCATGTGATTACGCCCTTCAAGTCTGGTACTTCGACCTCGTGGGAGGTTGCCAGGTGGCTCAACCAGGTCTGGCATCCGCCCTTTGAGTTCAGGAACAGGGCGCCGATGTACGCGTGCTTGGCTACTGGCAGAATCCTGAGTTGCGTTGTGAATGCTTCCCACCAGAGGACGGGATCCTGGTGCGTGTAGTCGTCGAACCTCTCCAGGTTGAAAGTTGGCATCTTGTACATCTTCAGATTGTCGTCCGCGTTCGTCGACTGCAGCTTCTTGACCTCGGTCTTCAATGTATGCAGCTGACTGCTGATGGTGGTGGTCGGCGCAGCGAAGGTGCTGATGTCGCCGAGCATTGCCACTACGTGGTCAACGCGGTCCTCCAGTTGGCGGCTTGAGGGTGCACTGCTGGAAGCTCCAGCAGCTGGTCCTGGTACAGCCTGTTCCAGGTCCAACAATCGGGCATTGAGTGCCCGAGTTGCATCCTCGTGGCTCTCCACTGTGCGGCGGAGC